CTATGCTGTCACAGAAGCAATTCCGCCCTGCCCTATGGCAGTGCAGGTAGCACCCTCTTCTCTTGGGTACAGAAGCCAGAGACCAGCATCCACCTTTTGCAGGCATTCCAAATGTGGGTGGATGCTTTTTGGAAACCACACATGCAGGGACTTATTGAGAGCAGGTAAAAGAGGAATGGGAGGGTGTCAAGCCCTTACTGTTGAAGGGGACTCCATAGTGTACACTGTATTGCAGTATGATGTTGTTCTATTTCTTCTCTGCTGTCCCTTTGCTCACTGTCCTCACTTCCAACAAAGGCAGGGCAAACTAGCTTGTATGTTATGAAAGGGGCAGGTGAGGTGGAGTTTTGCCATGAGAAAAGAGACCAGAGGTAGATTTGGGTGTGACAGAGGGGTTTTGGGGGCAGGGTTTGGTAAAGGACAAGGTGTTTTGATGACCTTGCAACCTGCAAGCAGAGTGGTTAGCAAAAGCAATTACCACATCTTCTACAAAAGCTGAGTGGAGGATGCCCATCCATTAGTTACCATGGATACCTTAAGTGGACATGAATGAGGTGTGAATCAATTGTGACCTTTCAGATACATCCATCCAAAGTGGCCAAACAGGTCTAGGCCTGTCATTTATACAGAAATTGCAACATGGGCTTCGTGTAAGTTGTTACCCCATATGTAAAAAACACATTCACGCTTAGGGTAACATGTTACCCTGGGCAGTTTTTCATCCACAGAGAGCAAACCACCCATGTAAGCTGGCTGTTCTTTGGGGATATTGTGTACTGCGGTGCTAGTGACAATGTCTGAAAAAGAATAATTTTTAGAATTAATTAACTTTAAGATACTGCACAAAATATGCATCTGGGGTAGGAAATTACTCCATGGGAACATATGAAGGTTAAGATTAAAAGAAAAGAAACAAATCGTTTGCTGTAGGCATGCTGCGTCTCTATAACTAAATTGTTTTCAAACGACCTTGTACCAAAGCAGTAGTGCCCAACCTTTTGGCCCAGCAGCCAGATGAGTGGCACAATGTCAGTCTGTAGACTAGTCCATCTAGGTCCCATGCCATCTGGATCCATCGCCATATGCCCATATTGGGTCCCACACTGACTGAATCCAGATCCATGCACCTAGATTGGGCCCCATGCTGGCTGGATCCAGCCCTGTATGCTCAGATTGGGCTCTGTGCTACTTGGATTCAGCCCCATGTGCCCAAATTGGGTTCCATGCTGCTGGGATCTAGCCCCACATACCTGGATCAGGCCTGATGCTAACCAGATACAGCCGTGCATGTCTGAATCATGCCCCATGCTGGCCAGGCCCTGCAAGCTTGAACTGGGTCCTGCATGCCCAAATCTGGACCCTCACCAGCACGATCTAGCCCAGGGCCGTGTTATCCCACGTGGGGCTAATTAGCATGACCACTGTTTCCCCCCCCCTTTCCTTCACACTGCTAGATTTTTGGGCCTGTGAGGACCTCTGTGGGCTGGATGGCATGATTCCATGGACCAGATCTAGCCTGCCAGCCAATGGTTGAGCACCCCTGGTATAAAACTTAGCTTTATATAAAGAAATTCAAAATCCTAGTGTGGATCTACAATGCACAAATACTATACTTCATAGAGTAAAAAGTAGTAGTATAATAAGCAGTTTCTCTCACTTGCTAAAAATTTTTAAAATATAAACTGCATTCACAGGCTGTACATTTAAAAATAACAGGCAAATGAAGATTAACAGTGACAGCCTGTAACTTTCCAGGTATACACGTAAGACTTTGGGTTTTTCTGTTTGTTTTTTAGCCTTTCTCAGAAGCATTAGGATTTGGCTGCAGCCAAGGTGGGAAATTTTGACTAAGGTGTTCCACTGCTCCTTCTGGGACTTAAAGCAAGAGGTTCCTAGCTAGAAGTTGGCCTTTAAGTTCAGGATCAGACAGCTCACCATATTTGGAGTCAGGAAGAAATTTTACTTCATGATCAGATTGGTAGGGACTGTGGGGGTTTTTGTCTTCTTCTGTAGTGGGAGATCTAGCCCTCCACCTGGGATCTCTTGAATGTATATTAACAACCCTTTACAGAAGCAGGACATTGGCTGCCATGGTCCCCCTGCTTTATCTGTGGCAGGTTAGAGTGTTACAACTTGTGTTGTTTCAGGACTGGTGATAGTTTTACTAAAAAGTTAGATTACAGATTTGTATAGGATGTTTTGGATAGGGATGATCCTGCTTCAGGCAGAGTGTTGGACTAGATGATCCTCTGGAGGTCCCTTCTAGCCCTACTTTTCTATGATTTCTATGGTTTACTAATAAAATAATAGTGAAAATTATAAGTAGCTGTTTTCTATCGTGTAGTTTGCTCTATTTCAGAATCAGCAGTATGGTTAAAATTTTCTTAAGAACAGACATAAATTTAGATTAATTTCTTTCTTTTAGGTTCATCTGGGAACATACCTGTATAACAATAGATTCTTATATGAGGTCCAGAAATGCAGTGATCTTTTAACATCCTCTTCCATAGCTATATACTATAATGTGCGCCACAGAATGCTTCCTACTCCAGCTAAGTGTCACTACACATTTAATCTAAGAGATCTCTTCAAGGTATGCTATGCTACATTACATGTTTGTTATTGCCATAAAATATTTTGAACTTTTGTGCAGAATAATCTAGCACGATCACTGCAAGCAATGCTGTATCCTGAATCTAGCTCATTTTTTGGAATTTAATTGAATCTAGCCTTCCCATCTGGAGCCCTGCAGTAATTTGAACTTGGGGTTTAGGTACTACATAAAAATAGGTGTAGAAATTTCAATATTATCTATTCTTTATTTGCTTTGTTTATTTATTCCTAGATTAGTATGCCTCCCTTAATAATTGCTAATTAATTCCCAAGGGAAAACAAACTATGGTAAAGGTAACTGTCAAACTTTACAATCTTAAAAGTATTTGCTATGTCATCTAAGACTGGCATGGCAAAACCATGCTACCCTAAAGAGTTATCAAGGCTCAAATAGACCTTTGACCTTTTGATCAGTGGTCAAATGCATTGCATTTTATCTTAATATATAATCGTGTACTTGTATGTAAACTGCATCTTACCTTTATTTCATTCAGTAAAAAAAGATATACTGACATTATAAACAAATATCTAGGAAGTAAACACTTTTGACAAGTTTCAATCGAGAATGACCTTTTTTTATTGTTTATTTAGTGGGATTATGCCTTCAGTTACACCAGGGTTGGATTAGCCTGTGAGATTATTCATTTACAAAATTTACAAATGTAACAACATTAAAAAGTTTAATAAACATAATAGCAACAAGTATAAGATTCCATATAAAGGACATTCTAGGGTAATCAAGCTTTCTATTACATTCTAGAGTAATAAACAAGGCTCCTTTTAGAATTTGATGTTATGCTGCCAGGTAAGATGGGGGCAGAGAAGTTATCAAAACTGAAGTTGCCTCTAATTCTAGTACTATACTGGAAAGTCAGATCACATTATCCAGTGAGATGAAAACTGTACAGTTCCCCAAAAAGCTTAGAACTTCAAGCAGTTACATGCATTTCTTATGCTAAAGGGCAAGGCTGTCTAAAATATTATGGTCACTAGTGTGGCTTTTTCTGATAGCACTGTGTTAGGGCCAGGTGTGAATTGTGCTACCTCAGTAAGTACTCTAAAGCCACTCTATCTCAGAGGGACATACTCGCTGTAGTTGCTATTGATCAGGGAACACATGTTACTTTGAATTCCCAGTTTATCAAATCAAGAGCAAGACCTTATAAAGGGGGAAAAGGTAAAATGCCGCATTTATTGATGACTTGAATTAGATGTAGAAGTTTGGACACACCACTCATACAGATGCACACAAATCACCATACACATCATTACACACAGACATACACAAACACAAAACAACCATTCCATTCAGATATTATAGTTACCAGCAGCAGTTTCTCAATAGGGGCACTGGGTGACCAACCCAGGCCTATTGAGAGAAGATGGAGATAGCAGCTGGAGCGGGGTGAACAAACGCATCTGTGCTCTGAAGAAAGCAGCAGTTGAGAGAGACTCACCCAACCCAGTATTTTCCAGAGTCCTCTTTTATGGGGATTGGCATTCTTTGTTTTGCACTTTGGGGTTTTCCCACACTCAATTTCTGTTTTTGCAGTTGTTTCTCATCCATCTTCTGATTATCTCAGCCCAAGGTCAGTTTGGTCATAAAAGTTGGTATCTCAGCCTTGAAGTGTCCTTGCTGCCCATCTGGCAGGATGTGTGCATTCCTCCTCCTCATTATCTCTTTTGTGCCCTAGGCCTCAAAGGGATTCTTCAGCCATCTATTATTTAGTTTGCTGACTGGCAACTTACACATTTGGCCTCTTGCTGCTTTCAAACACAGTTAAATCTTCTTTTCCTGTCTCTATGCCATTCTCTCGCCATTCACCCTTTCACATTCCCTCATTCATAAAAGGGCATGCAGAGTTCATTCACTTACGTCAAGCAAAAGAATACAAAATGGAGTTTTCAAGTTACTTACAGGACAAGACTAACATGGTTATATTTTACTACTATCACACTCTATGTTAACATCAGCTACATTAGTTCAGTTCATACTACACACATATCTGTTAGTACCCATGTAAGGCATGCAATTTGTATTCTCTTTCCATGGCATACCACCTTCCTGGCAAGTGTCATAATGAAAATTTGGTTGTAGCTGTGGAACTGCAGTGTTCCCATCCTGTGTGTGGGTAGCACAAGGTGGGAGGAGGTTTCTTACACCTCCCTTGATTGCTTATGGAGTAATTAGCAACAATGTAGCTCTCTGATAGCCTAATTGAAGATGTAGGGAATGGGGCCATTATTCTGGAATGCTGTTGGCTTTTGTAAATGTATTTTGTAAGTAAGAAATATGCTTATGCTTTGATTTTAATTAAAACATATGACATTACTGTTCATAAAGCTTGTTACAATATTGAAAAAGAAATGTACCAACATGTTTGTTAGCAAATAAGTTAAACAGACACTGTATATAAAATTGCAAACAGGTACTACAAGGATTGTTGCAAGCCCATCGGTCAATTATTGTCTCAAAAGAAACCACAGCCCTTCTCTTTGTGCATGAAACAACCCGAGTATTCCATGATCGTCTGACTGAACTTGCTGAAAGAGAGATTTTTCATAATTTCCTGTCAAATGAACTGTGTAACTATTTTAAGGTAAGTTTGTCTGTTTTTAATTTTTAAGAGGAATAATAATTTGTGGATTTGTTTTAAGCCCATTTTTCTAAAAAGACTAGTAATCATATTAGTATAAATGAAGGACACTCAGCTCCGACATATTAAATACTGGTATCACTAAGAGCAGAATTTGACCTGAAAGTTTAAAAAGTTAGAATCTGTTCCTACTGTCTCCTGTACTTTTAAGCATTCCTATTGATTTCAAGACTTCTATAGAGGAAGGCTTGTAAGATTGAATCCATAAATATTAGACGCTCACCTACTGGATCTGTGATGGGAGAAAATGAAAAGGACCCCCCCACACACATTGCACTTAGCATAGTGCCTATGCTCACCTCTAACTATGCGAGCATACTGGGATTTGATTTCAAGTCATGCTTTCTGTTGATAGTGGAAAAATAATTCTTTGCATTTATCAGCAAGAAAGATTTCAGCTAAGATGTATCTGGAAAAATGTAGAAATTTGACATCTTATTTTAGGGGCTGAAAATGAAATCATGAAGCCAGGAATGAGGAATAATAATGTATGCCCTTCCATTGATGTGTTGTATTAAGACATGTTTATATATCTTTAGCTTACTGCAGGAAATAAATGTTTGAAATTTATAGCAACTTAGTAACGTTTAAAATAATATGCAATATAATATTGTTGGTTGTTAGGAGATTGCTTTCTACTTTACTTATTTTTCCAGGGAGTTCTCCCTCATAAATACAGATGAAGCCTAGCCTTGTTTAATCTTACAAAATCGTAACTCAAGTTGAAATGCCTGCATCTTTAGATTCTCAGTTTTTCGAAGCAGTCAATAATTTGATCATATTGCACAAAAGTTGCCAATTGTGGCGTACAGAACTATTGATGTGTATTTTAATATCCAGGACAAGATCTTCACCTGGTGCACATTGGCATAGCCCTATTGGCCTCAGTAGAGCTATGGCAAATTACATCATAAAGGAACTAGCTATTAGATCCATTCCAATCTACATTCATAATAAGAAAATAGCTTCAGTAGCCTGAAACCAACTGCACTACACTTTATGCTTAAGTAGACTCTTGGCTTCTAGGACTTTGATAATTTTCAGGCATTAAAGAAGAAGAAGTCAGTTCTAGAGGTATACGTGAAGTAGAGTACCCATCATCAGAGAATCAACAGTGCAGAACCAATCAGTGATATATTTATATGATTATGTCTTATCTAACAGACTCTTTTTGTTATGTTGTCTCTATGTTCATGTCTAGTATTTATTCATCTGACAAAATTCCATACTATTTTAAATGTTTTCTGTGTTTAGAAAAATTAATTGGAAAATTAAATGTATAGAAAGCACCTGAATGATTAGCCCTTTTACATGGAACCATTATCAAGGACAATCAATTTCACAACTTACTTGTCTTGGCAATGCTTCTTTAAATAAGATGCTATTAGATAAAAATGTGTGTAGATTATAGGAATTGGGTAGAATAAAGGAATTGTGGGTAGATTTAAAGGAACTGTAAAAAATAATAAAATGGCAAAAATATGAATACAGCTTAAACTAGTCATCTGTTTGTAAAATACCTAATTGATTTGCTATCAATTATAAGTGGTTATCATTTATAGACTTAAGATTTTGTACTAAATAGAATTGATAAATGATCAATTTTTACATGATTTACTATCTGTGTTTGAGTATGCTAGCAGAAATATATAATTGTATATACAGTAATTCAACCTTTTTGATACCATGGCTCATGTGCAAAATGTTCCGAAACCTACTAGAGACTACAGATAAGTGGGCTGTGAAGGATCATGCTTGGAGTCAGCAGAAAGGTACACTGTGAGACCATGTATAGCTCCTACATTTATCTGTGTCCCTGACTCATGCACAAAGCTACCTCTTTACCTACCCCAGCCTACCTCTCTTCATCCCTGTCTGCAGTCCTACACACACACTTCCAGCTCACCTGCATGGCCCCACAAGCCACAGTCCCTAACTCAAGTTGCTTCCCCACCGCTTGCTTTCTCCCACCCTTTTGTACAGTACCATAGCCTGCTTCAACCTTGTGTACTGTCTTAAGGTCCTACAGCCCAGCCCTAGCCCCTCCCACATCTTCACCACTCATCTATCCCCCAGCACCACCTGCTGGCCTGAAGGTAACCTCTCTCCCACCCCATTCACAGCCCTACAGTCTGCCTGCCTCATGGTACTCATCTTAGATGTGCTGCAGAGATGCCAGAACTAACTCTTCACACAAGCTAGTTCTGGAATTAGAGCTACACTCTCACCCACCCCAAATGTTCCTGTAGCACCAAGGAGTATTGCTCTGAGACACCATGTTTTCATACAGGAAGCAGTATAGCTGTATTCATGTGTCACTGCACACAGGCTTAACTTTGTGCACATGTATAACTCCATTTACTTAAATGAAACTACACATGTGTTATCAAGCTATGGAATCAGTGCATCAGTCATCAGATATCTCTCTCCATGATTTAACTTCTTGGACTCCAGAACACCAAGAAGACATTTAAATCAGATACATCCCTCTGTACCATCCTGCAGGATGTGTTTCAGTCTGGGGCTATCCCAAAGTTAACCTGTCAAAAAAGTGCCATGTCTGTTCATCCTAAGTTCAGGATATCTGTCTGATATCTTCCTAATACTGTTTGGAATGGATTCTCTACACAAATCTACCAGCTTTTCTGATCCCCAGAGTACTTTGTAAAGTCAAACAAGATTCAACCAACCTGATTGATCATGATAGCCCCAAAATGTCTGAGGCAGTTCTTGTTCCCTGACCTCCTGCACTTCTCATTTCACAGCTCCAAGAGGTTGTTGCTCCCAGACCAATCATGTCGAGACAGGGGGAGGATACTCAAGTTACAACTAAACTCTTTCCACTTTACAGAATGGATGCTACTGGGTAGTTCTTGAGTATAATCTTCCCCTCTCAATGACATATTGATCAGCAGCAGGAAAATCTCCATAAGGCAGTCCTACATGGTCATATGGACAAGGTTTTCAGCTTTATGGAAACCTCATTTTGTGCAATGCAACACATGGCCCTGATTCCATGTGACACATCCCTGTAATCTTTCTCACATGATAGCGCTTTGAAGGGTCTAATCAAGATGTTTCTTCCAGTACAAGATTCATTTGAACTGTCAGACATTAATGTAATCCTTACAACCCTGATGGGTCCACCTTTCAAATCTGGAAATGTCTTGCTGCCTATTTACTTGTTGTGCAGAGGTGCTCATTTCATGAAGAAGAGTAAGAGAGCTCCAACCTGTAATGGTAGATCCTTTTACACAATGTTTCATCCAGACGAATTACCCATAGGACTTATTCCAAGCTTTAACCAATATATACTATCCAGTATTTTGCTGTATTTTTCCAGAAGTTTCATTTGTTCACATCCAAAGTGTTATTCCATGCTCCAGATGTGAGAGGATTCTTAGCCTTTTATTTGCAAAGATAATTCAAATCACTTTAACTCTTTATAGCCATAAGGGTACAAAGATATCTACCCAAAGGCTCTCCAGGTAGATTTCTGACTGCATTAGGCCAGACTGTGAGATTGGAAGATGTTCCATCAAACCTGAGGCAGCACCTGCAGCTTTGCTAAGAAACATCTCTACTGTTAATACAGGGATGGACAAAATACAGCCCCTGGGTTGGATCCAGCCCACCAGCTGATTGTATCCAGCCCACAGGCAGGCAGTCATCAACTTACGGCATCCGGCCCACAGGCAACTGGTGGCTCCAGCTCTGGCTGCTGCGTGGTGCCAGGCAGGCAGGCAGGGCTGTTTCCGCTATGTCAGGTGGGTGACTGCTTCCACTCAGCACTAACATGGTGGCATCAGCTGACTGAACCAAATGCCCAGCAGCAGCAGGGGCAGCATAGAGTTGTGCCCTTGGCACTGTCAACAGTTAGGCATTATCTATGCGGCAGACAAGGCTAGTAGCTTCTGTGTCAGGGATGGGGATCAAGGTGTGCTACAGTTCCGGGCAGGTGGAGGGGGGCCAAGGAGGAAGGGAAAGATGTGGCCCTTGAGAGGATACCAAAACTAATTGAAACTAATTAAGTTAATTAAGATGCCCCTCCAGCTAAAATAATTGCCTGCCTGTGTTAATAAAAAGTTGTTTGTGCCTTCACTAAACAGAAAAACATTTCAAAGTCTTTAGATCAAATGTTGCATTTTAAAAAGTAGTGCTTCAATCACTGTTCTCCTAAGGCCATGAGCATATGTGTAGCTTGAAGTGTCCATAGTGCTTTTGAAACACTCCAAACAATGAGCATACAGATGTGCATAGCCAGAGAAGCTTCATAAATGATCAGGGTGCTTCAAAAATGACCCCTGAAAACAGAAGAAAAGCTTTGAAGCACTTACTGAACCAGCTGCACACTCCAGTAGTTCTCCAAATGTCACAGTGCTCTGCTCTCCCTCACCCCCATGGAAGGGTAAGGAGGACAGACAGCTAATGAGTGCTTTCCTGTACACTGAGCTGTCCTCAAGAATTACCAGAGGCATGCAGGGATTCCTTCTCTCCAGCCCCTTGTCTGGAGAGCTGTGCTACTGCATGCTTCTGCAGTCATTTTGAAATGTTTGGGAGGGGGAGCAGGAAGAGACAGAGACACATCTGCATGATGCCAAAGTGCATCAGATTAGAAGAGCTCCAGGATCTGGAGCATTTCAAATGTATGTCTGTCCATATCCAAATTCTCTGGGAACCTGTCTTTGTGTAGACTGGACATTTCTTTGAAGTAACCCATAGAGGAATGCACATATGGACAACCACTCAAAGAAGAAAAAGAAGGTATTTATAGTAACTAGCATTATTTTAAGAAGTGCTGTTCATATGCATATTCTGAAACCCATCCTAGAATCCTAGAATCAATGAGTCGGAAGGGACCTAGACAGATCATCTAGCCCGACCCCCTGCCAGGGGCAGGAAGGAGCACTGGGGGGTGGCAG